CTGATTCAGCTCAATTCAGCACTGTTGGGGGTCGGGCTTTTGGAGGGATTCCGGACCCGGTCTTTGATGGTCTATGGATGAGCTATCGTCTACTGGATCAGTCGGATGTTGATGACATGCAGCTATGGTGCGCCATGTGGGCGGCCAAACTTCGTGATATTGAGGTCACTACTGGTATGTCAATCAACACTTCCAGTATTATCTTGCATTTTTCTAATGATGAGATTATTCATAACGCAAATAAGTTGGGTGTTTCTCTGGGTAGAATTGACGTTGAAGTCTCTAAGTCTGTTAATGATCTTTTGGATCTTGAAGCGGAGCGCGCTTTAGAGATGATTAGAAACCTAGCGGCTGTTAAACCTATGAACGATTCTGATGTAGATGCTTTGGGGGTCAATGTGCTTGATAGCTTTTGTGCGGATCTGGCACCCTCACTTCCTAAGAATGAGGAGGATGCCTATTCTATTTCCCCAAGGGACTCCATTATTGCTGATTCCCAAGTGGATGTGTCTACCGAGCTCGGTTGTGAGGACCGAGTAGAGGAACAAAACAAACCTAAACGCAAATGGAATCGTAGGATTTATCCGGCATCGGCCGTGCGTAGAAGTGCTAGGATCCGAACAACTAAAAAATTTCATGATGAAATATGAAAGGATTTTTTTGGAATAGAAGAGGTCTTAAGGACTTGGCTAAAAGAAGGTTTTTAGCGGATGCTTCTATTGATCACAAATTGAATTTTATTGCCCTGTCAGAAACTGGTAGGGACAATTTCACCCCCCCCCCAGTTCCTTAGTACTCTGTCAGGAGGGGTTGACTTTGATTGGCATTGTCTACCTCCAAGAGGAAGATCCGGTGGGATCTTACTTGGGGTTAAATGCGACTAGTTGGAAGTTAGGAATGTGGTTATCGGAGACTTTGCGGTCAAGTTTTGGGTTCGGTCTAAGGCAGATGGGTTTAATTGGGCCTTGGTGGCGGTATATGGTGCCGCGCAACCAGAACTCAAACCAGACTTTTTGGCGGATTTAGTCCGTATTTGTGGTAACGAGCAGCTCCCAATCCTAATTGGGGAGGGGGGATTTTAACATTATCCATAGACGGGACGAAAAAAACAATGATAACTTTGACGGCAGATGGTCGTTTACGTTCAATACAATTATTGAAAGCTTAGACCTTCGAGAGATTGAGCTTTCTGGTAGAAAGTTCACTTGGGCTAACACACTACCAGTCCCGACCTTTGAGAAGCTAGTCCGGGTCCTAGCGAGCGTCGAGTGGGAACAGAAGTTTCCCCTTGTGACGGTCCAAGCGCTCTCTCGCGCAATCTTCGATCATACCCCACAACGCACGTGGGGAACAAGAGTACGTTTTCTTTCGAATTAGCGTGGTTTGAAAGAGAAGGGGTTTCTGGATCTAATAGCAAGAGAATGGGCTAAAGATTCAGGAGGGAGAACGAATGTTGAGCGTTGGCAAAATAAGATTAGACATTTACGACAATTCTTGCGGGGTTGGGCTAAGCATCTAGGTGGGATTTATAAGGCTGAGAAGGAAAGGCTCCTTCTGCTTATTCAATCCCTAGATTTAAAAGCGAAGTCCTCCATATTAGATACTAGAGAACTGGAAACAAAAGTGGAGGTGGAGTTAAGATTGAAAGAACTGCTCCGTGAGGAGGAGTTGAAGTGGGCACTGCAAGCTAAAGTTCGCAAAATCGTCCAATGGGATGATAACACACAATTCTTCCACATGATTGCGAATGGCAAGCACCGAAAAAAGAGAATTTTTCAGCTTGAGCAAGATGAGGGAATGATTTTAGGGCAGGAGATCCTAAAGGCATATATCACCAATTACTACAAAGAGCTGTTTGGGCCTCCTGAGGACAATTTTGTTTCTTTGGATGAGTCGAGGGTTGAGGATGTTCCTCAGCTCGCAGTTGATGAGAACGATATTTTGACAGCCCCATTTTCGGAGAAAGAGCAATTTGAATCAATTTCCCAAATGAAAAATAATAAAGCTCCAAGACCGGATGGTTTTCCGGCGGAGTTTTATAAGAAGTGTTGGCACATTATTAAGGGGGACTTGCTCCCGATGTTCCAGGACCTTTTCTTGGGACAGTTGCAGCTGTTTCACTTGAACTTCGGTAGTATCACGCTTCTTCCTAAGAAAACAGAGGCTGTGAAGATTGAGCAATTTAGGCCGATCTCTCTTCTTAGTGTTAGCTTTAAAATATTTACCGAAGTTGGGACTGATAGGCTTACACAGATTGCACATTCTGTGGTTCAGCCGTCCCAAACTGCTTTCATGCCGGACAGAAACATCCTAGAAGGGGTTGTGATTCTGCATGAAACGCTCCATAAAATCCACACGAAAAAACTTGACGGGGTATTTTTCAAAGTGGATTTTGAGAAAGCGTACGACAAGGTAAAATGGTCATTTCTTCAGCAGGCTTTGCGTATGAAAGGTTTCGATCAGGCCTGGAGAGACCAGGTAGATTCGTTCACACAAAAAGGGAGTATTGGAATCAGGGTTAATGATGACATAGGTCATTATTTCCAGACTCACAAGGGCATGCGACAAGGAGATGCGATGTCGCCGATTCTGTTTAATATTGTCGTTGATATGTTGACAATCTTAATAGGAAGGGCCAAGGATGATGGTCAGGTTGGTGGCCTCGTCCCGCATTTAGTTGATGGGAAAGTGTCTATCCTATAGTATGCTGATGATACTATCATCTTTATGCATCATGATTTGGCTAAAGCTAGAAATATGAAGCTTGTTTTATGCTTGTTCGAACAATTATCGGGGTTGAAGATTAACTTCCACAAAAGTGAATTGTTCTGCTTTGGAAGAGCTAAAGAAGAACAACAAGCTTACAAATAATTGTTCGGGTGTGAATTGGGATCTTTACCCTTCACGTATTTGGGTATACCAATTCACCATCGCAAGCTCTCTAACAAAGAGTGGAAGAGCATTGAAGATCGATTTGAGAAAAAACCGAGCTGCTGGAAGTGCAAGCTTATGTCATGCGGAGGACGATTGATTCTGATTAATTCGGTGCTCACGAGTATGCCTATGTTTTTATTGTCTTTTTACGAAGTACCAGTTGGAGTACGGAAAAGGCTAGATTTTTATCGATCGCGCTTCTTCTGGCAAGCGATGAATTAAAAAGAAAATACAGACTCGCTATGTGGGATATAATTTGTAGGCCGAAAGACCGGGGGGGTCTAGGCATTGAAAATTTAGAGGTAAAGAACAGATGTCTTCTCAGCAAATGGATGTATAAGTTATCTGTAGAGATGGATGCCACTTTGGCACAGATTCTTCGAGCTAAGTACCTCCAGTCCAAAACTTTGTCCCAGGTGACGGTAAGACCGACTGATTCGCCTTTTTGGAAAGGTCTCATGCAAGTGAAATCAGCCTTCTTCAATAGGACAAAGTTCGTAGTTGGAAATGGTACTTCCACAAGATACTGGGAGGATACATGGCTAGGGGAGGCACCCCTTGCGATCCAATATCCTTCTCTCTATAATATTATTCAGTGAAGAGATGCTTATCTTGCAACAGTATTACAGTCAAATCCTCTTAATATTCAATTCAGGAGGACGCTAGTAGGAAATCGTTGAGAAGCTTGGCTCCATCTTATGAGACGATTGATGGATGTCCAACTCTCTCAACAGTCAGATTAGCTTTGCCGGAAACTAACTAAGAATGGGGAGTTTTCAGTTAAATCCATGTATTTGGATATTATCAACGCTAGCGTTGTTCCTAGTTTGAAACATGTTTGGAAAGTCAAACTGCCTTTAAAAATCAAAGTGTTTATATGGTTTGTCCACAAACAAGTCATCTTAACTAAAGACAATTTGGCGAAGCGCAACTGGACGGTCTCTAAAAGATGTAGTTTTTGTGATAGTGATGAATCAATCAGACACCTCTTTCTTGATTGCCCTTTGGCAAAGATTTTGTGGAGGTCCATCCATATAGCTTTTAATATAACGCCTCCGAATTTTATCAACACGTTATTTGGGACGTGGCTCGATGGGGTTGACGTAGTAACAGCGAGACATATCCATTTAGGAGTATGTGCTTTACTCTGTGCAATTTGGAACTGCAGAAACGATTTGGTTTTTAACAGAACAACAAATATTCATTTCTTGCAGGCTATCTTCAGGGCCACTACACTCATTCGTATGTGGTCGCTACTCACTTCGACGGAGGCCAGAGAGCATTTGGGTACTGGTTCTATCTGATGGGAGACGGTAGCTCGGGCTATCTTCAACCTATTTGGATGGCGGTCATGTAATAGGATAGGTGTTTAGTTTCCTATCTGTTTTTGCCTGCCGGTTGTGGCTGTCCCTTTTTGTGCTTTCGTGCTCCTTGTTGAGCACTTGTTTCTTTGTTTGAGACTACGAGACCTCTGTTGAATCTTTTGCTTATTAATAATATGGCCGTATGCATCTTTCTGATGCAGAGGCTGGGGCAAACCCCCTTTTCGAAAAAAAATATGGGGGGTGTTTTAAAAGAAACCTCCCGTGTCAAAGACTACAGACCAAAATCATTGCTCATAGAAGATATCCATACGTTTACTTATATAAAAGGATAAAAGGGATGACCGTTAAATGGTGCTATGTAGCTAGTTCCATGAACTCTGCAACAAGACATTGCAAAACAGGGTTGAATGCATACCACATGGGTCATAACCTAAGTAATCCAAGCTTCTATTTGCGTGATTACAGGTTCGCGGTATTGCGGTGGATCATCATAATTTTCCCACCATTTTTAGCTTATTTAGTGTTTCGTTAACAGGGTCTTACCTACTTCGATGGTCAATTTTGCATGAAAAATTATTAAATAACAATCACAAATAGTATAGCACAATATAACTTGATTAGCAACGAGAGCCTAATACACTTCAAGAGAAGGTAACTTATTCAACAATGAAAATGCTGATAAGGTGACTTATTCAGGAAAGAAACGTTTCTGCCACCACACATGCTCTCCACTAGTATGGATCATGTGGTGGTGTTGATAGGCATGCTCCGGATGACGACGGTCTCGAGGGTGATGCCGGGGCCAAATCCGAAGAGGACGCCCCAGTCCATGCCCTCGCCAGTAGTGGCATGGTTCTCCTCGGCAGAGCGCTTACGCATCTCATCCAGAATGAAGAGGACAGTGGCGCCGGCAATGTTGCCGTATTCGGACAGGACGTGCCTGCTGGCACTCATCCGCTTTTTGTTCAGGTTGACCTTGGCCTCGATCATGTCAAGAATTGCCGGCCCACCGGGGTGCGCCACCCAGAAGATGGAGTTCCAGTCATCGATGCCGAGTGGCGCAAAGGCGTTCGTCAACGCATGCTCAATATTTTTTGAGATGATCCTAGGCACGTCTTTGTCGATGTGGATGGTGAGCCCAACCTCCAAGAGGTTTACTTCGATGAGACCATCCGACTCGGGCAGGATTGCCTGGCTTGTTGAGACCAACTGGAAGATTGGCTTCTCCATCGGCTCCTTGGGGTCAGCACCAACAACCATCGCAGCCGCGCCGTCACCGAAGAGCGCCTGTGAGACGAGATTATCGAGGTGGGACCCCGTGGCTGAGGGGCCACGGAAGGTGGCGGCTGTGATCTCCGAGCAGACGATGAGGACGCGTGCTCCATGGTTGTTCTCGGCAATGTCCTTTGCCACACGGATCGCTGTAGCGCCGGCGAAGCAGCCCTGTAGGTACAACATGACGCGCCTCACCGACGGGTTGAGGCCAAGCATCTTTATGAGATGGTAGTCGGCACCCGGCAAGCCCACGGATTGCCGGGTGCAGAACACAAGGTGTGTGATCTTCGACAACGGTTGGCCCCACTCCTTGATTGCCTTCTGCGCCGCGGCCATCCCGAGCTTGGGGACCTCGGTGAGGAGGATGCCCTGGCGCACGTCCAGTGACGGGGCGTTGAACTCGCACATGCTGGGGTTTTGCTCAAGCAGCTTCTCGGTCATGTGCATGTGCCTCTTCCGGATCATGGACCCCTCACCTGCACTCACCCAGAAGATGAAGACAGTGTAGGATTTTCAGCTATGACATGTATACGTGACATGGTAATTTCCCGTCAACATGACATGTAAAAAATTAATGACACGGTAATTTCTTTCCTTATCTGTATAGAGGAAAAATTGTTGTCCATATCTTACTTTTCAAGAAGTAATATTAATTGATCACAATAGCTGGCAAAAGTTTGATGTTGGCATTTGCCTACGTTTTGGTGGAAATTTAGTTGTATGGGGTTGACCATTTTATGAGAAGAAGAGAACTTTTGTTGCAAAAAAGGGCAGGACTTGCCGTTTCCTACCAACTAAACTTGCAAAAAAACAAGTTCTCTTGCCATGTCTCTCCCAGCTGACGTTCGCCGGATAATATTAACGGCAGTAACACTAGCCATCGGATGACGCGAAATGGACTGTTCATATTTACCATTTATACTTACGGTTCCTTTTACAAAATCCCCAAAAACTTACATATCTGCTTGAACTTTTGCTTGAGGTCGGGGAGGTGGTCGCTGTTGGTGACCCGGAAGTAGTAGTCCGGGTAGTCGGCCTGGTACACGCAGTTGTCCGGTGCCGCCGTGCCGATGGCCAGCACCGTCGCCAGGCCCTCCGCCCGTGGCGCCCTCGCGTCCAACGCCGTCAATGCCGCCGGAGCCATCTCTCCTCCAAACAACTGCTGCCTACTACTTCCTCTGTAAACTAATATAAAAGCGTTTAGATTACTATTTTAGTGTTCTAAATACTCTTATATTAGTTTACGGAGGGAGTACTAGGTACGTACCACTTAGACGTCTCATTACGTTCACAAAGACGATGAGCAAAGATAAGATAATTACCGGGAGCATAAACTAGATGCTGAACTAACCTGGATGGTTTGTAGAGATGCAGCTAGCTGCTCCGAGGGCGTCCAGGTAGAAGAGAGACGCAGGAAGACCGGGCTGTGTCTGTCACCTGTACAAGCTTTGGGGCTGCTTATATAGAAACGATGAGGCAAGACCGGGAGGGCTTGATACTTTTGCACAAAACCCCTGCGCTTATCTCATAATGCTGCATGCTATCCACCCACTCATCCAGGTGAAACCATCTCTACAAACATCATTTCGCAAAAGAATCACTCACCTGAATAATCAGCCACTCCCATCCACATTCAAAATGTACTTGCTACTACCCATTTAAAGAAATATAGGTGTTTTTTGATTTTTAGATCACTGCTTTACTGATCTAAAGGCTCTTATATTTCTTTACCGGGGGATTAGTAATTAACGTGCTGAATACCGAATATCCATTTCTGAGCCCGTGTTGAAGAATTTTTATAAAAAAAATACTAGAAAAATTCAAAAATATCCATTTTTTCCATGGTAGATATTTTGATGCATGAGGTCCGCTCCAATTTTCAGATCATTTGGACATTTGGGTAGCTCTCAGCAAAAAAGATAAATTTAGGGTTTGTAAAAAGTTTATTGTTCATGTACTGTTCTGACTGTCTTTTTTGCTGAGAGCCATCTTTTGGACAAGAGTTTGCAAGAACTTTCATGAGCGAAGAAAGTTTGCCCCCCTACCAATTCACAAGCACCCGCGGCATCAATTCAATCCAAAAAAGATGGGGAATCATCCAACAATAATGCAACAAATATGGTGCCGCGCTTGAGAGTGTCAAAGGCCGTCCCGTGAGCGGCCTTGGCCTTGGTGACTTGGTATGAACCTCTCCCTTTTCCATCATGCATCCATTCATGTTGGCATGACATTTAAGTTTCATGCATTCTATGTCCTTTCATGTTGGCCGCATGTTTGATTGTGTAGGCATTCCAATTTTTGGAGGCGTTCAAGACCCGACACAAAGACAAGTCATTCACTCTCACGCATTGTTGGGTGCCAGGGCTGTTTCCAAAAAATTGGGGGCCCGGGACAAAATGCAAAATGGCCCGGGACGAAGTTCTGAGCTTATCATTTCTCAAGATAATAAAAGAAAAAGGTTTCACCTTGAAGTTTGAATTAGAAATTATCTTCAAAAATAGTTTGCATCAATCCATCAAAAATAGTAATATATATCTTGAAAATTTGATGCGGTCGAAGAAGAAGCCGCGCGTTGCCAACGCAAACCCAAATCCGAGCGGACACGACCCCATCCTCATTCCTAAACAGATGAAATCCGAATAAAACGGACGTCTGTTTGAAGCCGTGTATTGGAGTTAGCGTACTCGAGACCTCGCGGTGCCATTTCGTCCGTGCGTTGAAGAGTAGTGTTTTTTTGAACTGCATGCATGTGTATCACTGGAACAACGAATTAATGTATTGATTGACTGATCTGGATTTGATGTGCATCGACCATACTGTGTACATGGCCATGCAAGCAGCGCCAGCAGCCATCATGTGCATCATTTATGGTGAGATACAAATATAGACCCGAGAAGCACGGCACATGCATTTCTGCAAGAAAATAAATGATTGAGTCGGTTGAGTATTTACTGCTAGCGTGGCCAGATTCAGCCAGCATTTGTCATGTGTTCCGTTGGAGTAAGGGGATGTTTGTTTCAGAAGTCCTAAGACTTTTTCTAGTCCCAGGGATTAATTTAAAAGGACTCTTTAGTAGAGTCTTTTTCTAGTCCCTGTAGAAAAAGTCCCTTTCATTTGGTTCCTAGTGACTCATTAGGGACTTTTTCTAGTCTCTGGGACTAAAAGGTCCCTAAACCAAACACCCATTAAATCTCTGTCCGATTTAATCTGCCGACATAATAATGTTGACACACTATTTAATACTTCATGGCTATCCATCTCTGTGACCAATAATTCGGGATGGAGAGAGTAAAATGCAATCTTGACAACATGATTGTCATTTGAGTTAATTACAACCACAATACATAAATTTGAACGGTGATACCAAAACTTAACTCCGTAGAAGTGGTACAATAAAAGAAGTAAGGCTTTAGTGGTGTCAAGTTTCCTATGTTTTCTTTCAGATGCTTTATCTCTGATTTTGCATTGAAAGAAAAGTCGTTTATATTTTTCTTTTTCGCGTTACTAACTAAATGATGCCACAATGAATAATCAATAGAAATTTCACTCATTTGCACCTCAAAATTTAGCGGGGGCAGCTAGGCCTCAATGGACTCAGACTGGGTTAAGTCTCAGTCGGCTGATGTCAGCCAATTTAATCTTTGCAAGTTTCTTTAATTTAACTCCCTATTGGCTCTTGTATTAGAAAAGTTCGACTGCACATATTCTTCTGAATTTATATCCTTTGTCTACTGTATGTTACTAACACAAATGTCTGTGCGTTGCAACGGGAGAAAACAATGGTTCCTATGGATCAAGGTTGGTCGGGTCGAGGAAGCACTACTAGAAAAATGGCTATAGCTAATATGGACATTAATGGCGGACCACACCCTCGGTGCGCCACTACTCACAATTTTTTTTTCGAAATTAGTAATGGCACACCACACCCACGGTGCGCCTTTACTAACTTTGACCAAAAATTTCAACAAATGCATCAACCCCCCCCCCCCATGGACCGCCTTCGGTTTTTAAAAAAATAATAGAAAATGATGGAAATGTCAAGAAAATAAAAGAAAATAAGTTTCCCATGTGATATGTGGTCTAGTTGTTGGGAAAATTTACAAATATGAATTTCGAATTTATTTGCAAAATCTCTCCGGAATTTAGTAAAATGGGTATAACTTTTGCATACGAACTCGGATTAAAAAGTTTTTATATGAAAAATTATCTACTCGAAAAGTTACATCCGAATTCAACTGGGGGAACCTCGTTGAAGATTTTCAGAATCCCAAAAACCTAACAGAATAAAAGTTACGATGCTTTTAAAATCTGGAGGCAAAAAAATTCAAAAAAAATGCAAAAACAAAAGCAATGGCGCATCAGTGAATAGTGCACCACTACTATTTTCCCGCCTTCACAATTCAAAAAAATAGCAATGGCGAACCAGTGCACGGTGCGCCACTGCTAAGTTGGGACAGAAGTAGAAAAGGGGCGGCCAGCCACTTACCCCTTTATTTTTCTCCTCCTCTCCTCCACTCCATCTCCTCCTCTCCTCCTCTCCTCCACTCCATCTCCTCCTCTCCGGTGACCTCCTCCTCCTCACGGTGCTCATCCTATGGCGACCTCCTCCTCCCTCCTCTCCTCCTCACGGTGCTCCTCCGGCGACCTCATCCTCCCTCCTCTCCTCCTCACGGTGC